ATCTTCTTTACATGTAACATATCTTATATTAGCGTTAGAGAGTTTAAATCTCTTATCGTCAAGTATTCTCTTGAATTCGGAAAATAATAATTCGGTTGATTATAATAATCTTAATTGCTTATGCCGATAAATCTTTAAGATTTTTTTATCCCGGTTTAATATTTTATTCAAGTGCAACGGCACTTATTTACTTGTTGTAATTTCGAAGTCTATTCTTCTAAGACTTATTTACTCTTTTTATCGATTTATTCTTGCTTTAATCGATTCTTTTTAGGTTCATAATGATTTAATTTGATCATATCTTCTATTCAGATCACCTTTGTAGAATCGAATCTCTAATTGTCGGAAGTGCCTTCATCAAATTCATGATGTAATCCATTGCATATTTGAATAACCAATGCTTCATCATACACAACATCACAAGGTGATCTTTCTGTAGACATTTCAGTCACCAAAACTATAAATATCTGCTGTTATTATATACGATTGTTCATTTAATATTTTAGGAGCAATATAAGATAAAACTCCATAAATATTATCTTCTAGATCTGATTCATCTTTCTTTCCCGATAATCCTAGGTCTGTAATATAAGATGTTATATCACCATTAATACATTGATTCTGTAATATATTGCTGCTATGATGAATATATTCGACTTCGTGAATTTCCATCAAACCATATTGCTAAAAATACTGATTCAATTCCCTTTCGCCGATTTTTTAACGTTTTCTAATCTATTAAAAGGATTCTCATCTTTATATGCTGTAGCTTAAAGTTGAACTTCTTTAATGCAATTATCAACATCGGCATTTTCAATTATTCATCCTTAACTCTTTCTTTACTGTTCTCTCTAGTATAACGACATATGTTACATGGTTCATGTGATATTTGGATTATTAATCTTTCATCATACTGAGACGGTTTTCTTATAGATACTTAGGTCATAATAATTTTAAACTATAAATGTCTTATGCTATTATAAGCTTTTGACCTGATAAGACTTCGGGTGCAACATAAGGCATAGCTTTATAAATTTCACCTCCTGAATTGTTTTCTTAGACATTCCTGTTATATTGAATATTCTACGTTGTAATACATGAGTTTGTTAAGTTCAGCGAGCTGTGAAGTATCTCATCTACTATCACTGGTAGTTACAGATACCTATGAAGATGTTTGGGTTTTTGATGGCGATTGTGTCGGAGACGTTAGTTGTGTAGTAGTAGATATTTTCGTTTACACGGCAACTTGTGTAGCCTTCTCATTCGGACCAGATTCTATTAATTTCGATTCGTTATCCGCAAGTTCTTCAGTAACAGAGCTAGGTATATCTTCTGTTTCAGATTTCAGTAATGCTGGAACTTCTGGCACACCTACTTTTGCTGAGATGCTATAACCAGCTTTTTCAACTACTTTTAAACCTCGAGTTGATTCTCTATGAGAGTTCGTGATCGTATATTTTTATATGTCCTTTGAATTATACTCATAAATTCGTATATTCTTCCTCAATACTCTTAAACTTCATCAAATTCACTTCATTATAATATGCGCCTGAATATCCATATCCATATTTTGACTAATTATTTGCTGTAATTTTTTTTCATTCGTACAGCATTAATATAATACTAGGATATTATAATTGTTTTCTAATTACACTAGTTGGGTTCAAGTTTCACGCGGTACTTATTATGGTAGCTAACCCTCGCCAGTACCAGGCTATAGACGCGCATTACAGGTCTGAACACACCCTCAATTTTTACGTAGTACCTATTACAGCATAAGCTCTCGCCAGTACCAGGCTATAGACACGCTTTACAGGCAGAGTACCTCTAAAATTTTTTTCTTCTTTTTTTATAACTAGTTTGTTTAGTGTAATTCTCTTGATTTTTATCATTGAATTAAATTAAAGACTTTTGTACAGAATTTCTTTACTCTCTTTGTATATTCGATGACTAAAGGCAAATTATACTTATTATAGTTATTTTTCAATTCCCAACCGTTATTTTTAATTTGACACCACTTAGAGCGACCATTAATCTTTACTACCTAATCCCTACGTGATGTTTATAATGGTCTAATAAAATAACCTTTGGGAATATGAAATCTTAACCGTAATTATTTTTTTCGCCCTTATCAACGAATTTCACTGGAGTATTATTTTTCTGTCTTTAAGTCTTCTATAATTAACTGTAACATTATTCTTAGGTGGCATTACACAACACTTTCCCAGTAGTGCCTTGTTTCTACGTCGTTTGTTGATGTCTTAAAGGTTTTCATGTCAACTAACATCATTATTGACTCATTTGTATTGACCGATCTAAGTATTTTAAAGGATTCTAAAATCGACTTGTATAAATCACTTGTAAATGTATTTTGATTATTCAGTTTTTCAACTCTATTAAAAAATTTTTTGCCGCATTGTATTAGTTAATTCTTCAGCAGTTGATTCGTTTCGAGGTTCTGCATCCACTTAGATCCAAAATAATTGAGGAACTTCGGATCGAATTTTAGGTCTATAACCTAAACAAATATGTCTTCGTTGTGTGGAATATCATAATATGGAGGATATCAGGTAAAACTTTTGACATAATTATTTCGACAGAATAAATTTCTGATTTTTGAGTATAGTGTTTTTATACAACACTTCTGTTCAATGTAAAGAATTACATCATAAATCTCATTAGAAATTGATTTCTGAGATACTGGCCTACATATGCCAACATCAATAATGTAATTAAAATATTTTAGCAAACTATATTTCCGGAGTGAAGATTTTATGCATTCATTTTACTTTGTGGATTGTATTAAGCCCAACAGCAAGATGGCTATTTTAGAAATCCAATCATCTTTAGGCTTTTTAGTTATTCCACCATCTCTATCTTTGGACTTATCAAGTTTTTTTTTTTAAACTTCGTATCTAGTTATCCTTTTCCATTCACTTAGTTTCATTATAACTAAGTTCAAGATATATCATTTAATCCGTATTGCCTTAAAACAATGTCATAATCTCCTAGTTTATCTTTGC